CCCGGCGGCGCCATGCCGGGCAACGTCACAAACCTTGGTTGGATTCTACTCATAAAGGGCTTTTGAACTACTCTTAGTCTGACCCGTCACCCAAGACCGGTTTGCCTTGGGAGACCCTACCAGGGACATATAGCCCACGACAACATAGCTCCTAGGATTACTCGGGTACTCAAACCCCTCCACCACAATAAGGTGGCGGTTCAAGGAGGGGAATGCAACTAGTGTTTATGACAATTAGCTGCTATAGGGGGAGACAAACTGCCAAGTTATGCATTGTTGCTTGAAACTGTTTAATAGTTAATAAGCAATTACATTTTTAAATGTAAATGCTAACCTTTGTTGGCATGTTGCTTAAAAGTGTGGATAATATTTATTCAACTACAGAAACTTTGGGATTGTCTTCTCTGTAAGAGGTAATTTATGTATTATTACTGTATACTTACTGTATTCATGTAGTTGATTTGAAGATGCTTTGACCTTTATAAAAATAAGAATACTTGACTGTTTCATTCATTTACTCTGTCCATTAGACACTATGTCTATTCAAGCATTCCACATAATTCAAAAGACTTACAGTATGACTGAAAATGAAGGACATAGAAACATATGTGCCTCTGTTTTTGCTAAAGCTGCTGGTCTTTGTGTGATTATTTTATTGAAGATTATTTTGCATGAAAGCTTAGTCTTGATTATCTGTTCAAACCCATATGGGTTGCACCAATTATTGTAGAGGTGCCTTCTTTGTTGTTAACCCAGAACGTTGGGCAGTCACTTAAATAGTCAATATCTCTAGTGTTAAGACTCTATTAAAATCTTAAAGGACTGAAATTAAATATGTTACTTACTGTTGATTTTGACAACCATCTTCAGTGCTTAAATGCAAGCCTCTATTGGGTCTGGGCTTTTTGTACATAAAAGCATGAATGGAAGTCTGACAGATATCATCAGTGCCATTATGATACTTCTCACTGATAGATATGCAATGTCCAATGTAATTACATTGCTTCCCTTTAAAGAACAAAAATTGTGAACAGATCACTGTTATTGGTATTTACACCTTTATTAGATATTGTACTGTAGATCAACAGTGAAAATACAGGTAACATGATACACTGGGCCTCATATACACACAGATACTCTGTAGTCATTTGGCAGATACTTTTGTCCTTTTGCACATGGGAGGATTCAGGGATTGAACAAACAACCCCACATTTAGTGACTACCATCAGTGAGCTACATTTGTCTCTGCTGTTTCAGTATTTCTGGCTTTGGTATGGAGTTCTTATCAATACAACCTGGGCTGGATAAACCCAGCTTAAGGTATATTTACCAAACAGTATTTTGCACCCTACAGACTTAGTTACAGGGATTGTTACACCTACAGTATTGGTACATATTGTAATGTCATGGCAACTACACAGCTAAAAGAGAAAGAGCTTAAATTCCATTAAAACAAAACATGTCAAAAGTACAAATACTGTAATGATTTTTTTCATCTCAAACTGAAAGACTGAACATATATACTGTACACAACAAGTACTGACTGTTGTTATGTCAGCAGCAAGTGACTGTGTTGACCTCTGCCCTCATTATGGTTGGTTGCAGGTTTGATCCGTCTACGGTCCAGCCCACCTCCTCGCCTCCAGGGTGTTGAATATGTCCTCAACATAACAGCAACGGATGACAATGCCTCAGGCGGACCTCAAGCTTTGTCATCGACGGCTCAGGTCATAGTGGGAGTGGATGACGTGAATAACAACAAGCCAGTCTTTGAGAAGGTAAGGCAAGCAATCACACACTCACATCATTAAAACCTTCCTCAATCTTGCTCATTATCTGCTTTTGTCTGAAAAGGTGCTGCATCAACAAATGCCATCCTGATTTACATGCATTTCAGGGCAACACAGGCTAATGAACAGAAAAGCTAGAAAAGACAAAGAAAGGGAGATAGAGTACTGATGAAGGAGAGTTACACTACAAAAATTGAACTCTTTCATTTACAAAATAGTTCAGACCCTTAATTCAGCTTCCAGTCTTTAGGGATAAGTCTCTACAAGCTTTGCACACCTGGATTCAGTAAGTTTATCCCATTCTTCCTGGCAGATCCTCTGAAGCTCCTTCAGATTGGACATGAAGCAACTATAAAAAAAGCAACTTCTGGTTTCTCCACATATGTTCTTTGGGATTTATGTCTAAGCTTTGGCTGAGCCACTAAAGACAGATACTTGTCTCAAAGACATTCTGCTACTCTGAAGCCATTGTATATCTCAGTGGCATTCCCTTTGTAGTTTCCTTTGTCCTGTCTATCCCATGTAACTTCCACTGTCTCCCCATCTTTTTCTCTATATCTCCTCTATTTATTAGGCCCTACCTCTCCTCTCTGGAGGAGCGATTAACTGTCTTGACCCTTGTCTCTGCTCTCATGTCTCTCTCCTACATCATCTCAGTCTTTTAATTAAAGCTTTGAAGGATGTGGGAGTAATCCCAACCGACCCGCTCTAGAAGAATTATGTCTCTACTTTCTTTTTAAAATCATGTCTCAATTTTAAATGAGGTGACTTTTCAAACCCCCTGAAGTACCACAAGCCCAGATTGGGAGCGGGGCTTGGTGAGTAAACCTTGCTCACTATCTCCTGGGGGGAAGTGAATGCCACGTGTTTCCCTTTTGGCTTCACCTCTTAGCAGGAAAAAACAGAGGGACAGACAAGAAGATGATAGCCAAGAGAGAAAAGGAGAAGAAAGGGATTCCTAGTCCACAGTGTTTCATGTGCCCTGTATGCTCAGTTGTCTCTCTCAGGAATTTCCTTCTGGCTTCTCACTGCAAGTCTGTGACTTTGTCTGCTGCTGGGATGCTGACTGCAACAGATAAATAAGCCCTACAATCACAATACAAAGTAATGGTCCTGTTTGCAATTTCCTGGTTTTTGGATAAATTGGTCATGAAATGTGATCTTTTTTTTCACCAAAGTCACAAATATCAACAAACACAATCTTTCTAATGCTGATAAAACCATGATCTTTCATGTCGTTATTGAATACAGTGATGGTGGAAAAAGTAATGGCAGCATGAGGCTTCTGATCTCACTAAACATCAACTGGAGTCAGGGGTTAGCAAACCTGGAGTCCAATCAATGAAATGAGACTGGAGGTGTGGCTTACAGCTACCTTGACCTATTAAAACACTAACAGCATTGCCTCATAAAAAAAGAGATCTCAGAAGACCTATTATCAAGGTTGTTGATTGGCATGTAGCTGGAAAGGGTTACAGAGTCATCTCAGAAAGTTTAAAAATTCATCAGTCCACAGTTAGACATAATTTCTATAAATGGAGCTGATCTGATACTGTGGCTACTTTCCATAAAAGTACGTGCCCAGCTAAGATCACTCAAAAGGCACAACGCAGAATGATCAATGAGGTGAAAAAGAACTCTAGAGTAACAGCTAAAAACTTGAAGGATTCATTGGAGATGGTTAACATCTCTGTTAATAAGTCAGCCATATGCAAAATATTGAACAGGCATGGTATCCATGGCAGGACACCACAGAGGAAGCCACTGCTCTCCAAAAATAACACTGCCGCATGCCTGACGTTTGCCAAAGACCATCTTGACACTTCACAGCACTACTGGGAAAATGTCCTGTGGACAGAAGAAACGAAGGTAAAATTGTTTGGTGCAGGGAGCATCAGGATGTGGGGCTGCTTTACTGCCTCTGGACTTGGACTGCTTGCCAGTGTGGATGGGAAAAATAATTCAAAAGTTTATCAAGGTGTCCTCTTTAATAAGAGATTAGACACATTTATTGATAGACATAAAATCCTCTCTGATTGCCAATATGGTTTTAGGTCAAACCGATCGACATCTTTGGCCATTACCGACCTGATGGAGGACATTACAAGTGCTATGGATGAGAAGAAATACACAATGGGGATATTTATTGACCTAAAAAAAGCATTTGACACAATCAATCATGAATTATTAATGGA